ATAAAAAAAAAAATTTTTTTTTTTTTATGTCAACTTTATATACAAAAAAAAAAAAAAAAAGAAAATTTTTTTTTGGTATGTCTACCATTTATCATAACTTTTACCGCCTGTTTTTTTGGAAATTTAACCGCCTTTAGCTAATAATACCCCCTTATGTATATTCACATAGGTCATCTTCCATGACAGATTTAAAACTGGCCCCGAACCATATCTCTCATTGAGTTTGGTCTCATACCATAAGTTTAACCAGCTGGTGACTATATAAAATTATAATTAAGAATTTTATTATGCAGAAACTACATTTACTTTTTTTTTGAAATTTCCTATCGAATTACGTAAAACGTTACAGATAATAATAAAAAAAATCAAAAATTCAATTTCGATACACAAGGATTTTCTTCTTAAAAAATATTAATAATAATAATAATATTAATAAAATAATAATAATAATAATAATCACGTCCGGTTCGTTATTGGTAAAATTTTCTTCAGAAAAATATTTTGCAGTATAGATTCTAATTGCCAAGCCCCTTTTTTTTCATAAACATTAAAAAATTCAAAATTCAGAATGTAAATGAGATAGTAATTAATAAGTCAATACATAAGTTAAACATATGAAACACAAGTTTAAAAAGAATAAAAAAAAAACTTTTAAATACGAATTCTTTGATAGTGGGAGCGCGTATTTTAAATGATAAAAAAAAAAGAGAGAGGAGAGAGAGAGAGAGAGAGAGAAAAAAAAATTACAAAACTCGTTCAACCAATCAGAATTAAAATCACGTCAGCGACAGCCAATCAAAATTAAGAAAAATGAGGTAATGTCTATTTATATTCATTTTTTTTTTTTTAAGCTAAATGAATTTTTTTTTTTTTTTTTTTACTACAGATAAGTTTTTGTTTTTTTGTTTTTTTTTTGTAAAAAGATTATTTTTTTAATTATTTATAGTTGCAAATATTCGTCATTTTATGATAAGGCTAAGGGAAAAAAAATCGTACCTTGATTGAAAAACGATTGAAAATCGCATTTGAAAAAAACACATTTACCCATTTTCTTAAAATCCTAATTTTTTTTTTTATCGGGAAACATATTGACAGTAAATTATACTGAGCTTACGGTTTAATTTTTTTCGCGTACAAACATTTAGCTTAACGAATTATTATAGTTAAAACGTTTTTCATTAGAGTTTTATTTTTCGAAGAATTTGGGCCGTTGCGCCTCGAGTGAATTTTAATAAAAAAAAAAAAATTTTTTTTAAATAAAGTTTTAGTTTCCGATTTCCGCGTCGGGATTTTTTTTTTATATTAACACGTGATATGAGTGCATTTTTATTATTTAAAACTAATAAACAATATTTGGATACTTTTTGAGATTTTATACAACATCCAAGTGCGGATAAAAACGAACAAAAAAAGAAAAATTACATGGTAATTATACCATACAATTAACACAAAACAGGGGTAAATTACTTTTTTTTACAATAATTTAAATTAATTTTTAACGGTTTTTCGTTTGTTTCTTATCTGTATTACATACACTAACGAATTCGTTTTAACGGATTTTTTTTTTTAATTTTACCTTGATTATTTCATCAAATTCTTGATATATATACTTTTTTATAATCATCCATTTTTATCTAAATATAATTAATAAAAAAAAAGAAAAGAACAAATCGTTAACAATTCACAAAAATAAATTTTTTTTTTTTCAAATCCGGTATTCGAATGACAACAATTAACGGAAAAATTCCATTGTCGTAACCTTGAAATTGAAAAAATTACCCCCTTCCCCTTTTTTACTGTCGTTTCAAAGTGGCAGGAGACAGACAAAAAAAAAAATTTTTTAAGTTGGTAATCGGGTGAGTGAGTGGTTTCCATTTGCGTACTTGTTTCGTTAAATTAACGTTTCAAATTATTAATTACTTATTTAATTTAACGGTCGTTTTTTATATTAATTAATAAATTATGTGTTATTCCGCGGTAAGATTTAAAGTATTTATTTGCATTAGTTTAAATTACGAAACCGTTTATTATCGGGGTAATGTATTTAATAGTAAAAAACGGTTGTAATAAATAAATAAAATAGAAAAAAATGGAGCTTACAAATCCGACAACAAATTATTTGACATACTTTTTTTTTTTTTTTTTTTTAGCAAGAATGTTTTGAGAGAAATTTTCTTTTTTATATTTAAATTTAATATATATATTAAAAATAAAAAAGTTCAAGGTAAATATAAACCTAAATAACCACGGTTATGTTTTTTTTTTTTTTTTTTTTACGTGGTAGCCATAAAACATTTTAACGGTCTTTTTTCTCATTTTGGGGGGGAGGTACTCTTTTAGCAAAACGTGAATTTTTTTTTTTTTGTTCAATTAATTAAATTAACCCCAGAGTTTAAATAAAAACGGGAAAAAGAAAAACATTTTCAAGTGTTTAAACGAAAATATATTGTGCAGGAATTTAATTGAAGTTCTTTAATGGGAACGCGATCATTCACCCTAGCTTTAAGCTTTCTTTCTCGCGAATTTTTTTTTTAACAACGACAAATAATAATAATAATAATAATAATAATAATGATTATTGTATTGCATTTGGGTTGATGTGATTTTTTTTTTTTTTTGTAAAGGTCAGGTAGGTCAAAAGAGTTTTGCTAACATTGATTAAAAAAAAAAAAAAAAACCTGCAAAGGAGGGCCCGATGAAACAAATAAGGCGTTGCCAATAATAATAATAATAATAATAATAATAATAATAATAATAATGATAATTTTAAAACTAATTGTTATTCCAAATAGATTTGATGAAGTTTATTTAGTTAGCGCTTGCGCATTTGGTTTTTTTTTTCATTTTTTTTTTTTTTTGCGAATGATATTTCCATCATCATCCATTGTTGTAACCGCATTCAAATAATAATAATAATGATGATGATGATGGTTATTAAAAAAAAAAATTCTGGAAAAATTCATTTTTGGGTTTTTCCCAATTTTTTTTCTTTTTTTTGTGCGGTCGTCTTTCTTTCTTCTCGGCGGGAATTTACCAATTTATTATTATTATTATTATCATTATTTTAAATTACGTTCTCTCGTACATGCTCCTGTTTTTTTTTTTTTTTTAAAAACTTAATTGAACGAGATAATTAATATAATTATTTAATTGTTTTTTTAACACGAGCTCTACTCATCAACGGCCACGTGGAATTTAAAGCTCGATTTAATTTTTAATCGTACCTCTTAAATTAGGGGAACCTTAAAAAAAAAAACAAGAGGAAACAACAACATTCATTCATTATTATTATTATTTCGCGATTGACTGACTCTTTTTTCTCAAGGAAATTTTAATTGAGCGTTCATTTTGTTTTTCCTGTTTACTAAAAATACGAAAAAAAAAAAAAAAAAAAAATAGAAATTGGGTTACATTATTAATTATTATTAATATCATTTAAAACTTTGGTGTGTGCACACACGCACGCACACGCACACGATGATGATGATGATGATGATGATGATGACAAACACAAGAAATTAAAAAAAAAAAAAAATTGACTCGTACGAATTTTCCCAAAAATTTTTGTCTAGATTTTCCTAAATTAGAAATAATAAAATCGAAAATCAAAATGACGGGGAGGGGGGCGGGGGGTAGGGGCCGGGGGCTTGTATTTATCATCATCATCATCATTATCATTGTGTATAAAAACTTTTTCGTTTATTTATTTGTGTCGATTAAAAAAAAAAAAAAAAAAAAAAACAAATAAATATTTTTAATTATTAATTAATGATAAATGTGTCGTTGTTATTATTATTATTATTATTATTTTCATTTAAATAAAATCCTCATATTTCATAATTTTAATTATTAAATAGAATTCGATTTTATACTAAAATATTTCCTCATCATCATCATCATCATCATCATTTTAATAAATAATTTATTAACAATAATATGATGATAATAACACGATTATGCCCACCTAAAATTTTTTTTTTTTTTTGAAACAAATCATTTTAATTAATTTATTCGTTTTAAATAGTAATGATAATAATAATAATAATAATAATAATAATAATAATTAAAAAAAATTATTTTAAAAATTTTTTAATAAGTTGAAAAAAAAAAAAAAAAAAATTTTCAGACAAACAATAATATTGCATATAAATAATTTTCAATTCATTCATAATTTTTTTTTTTATATAAAACGCATAATAAATAAATAATTTATTATTATTATTATTATTATTATTATTATTATTATTATTATTATTAATAAAATTTAAATTTTTTTACGACATATTTTAATGATTAATTACATTTTTATCTGTTAATATTGCAACAGTAATTAAGGAGTTAATAACCCGAATTCACCCTTGCGCATCTTATTAAAAAACGAAAGGGGGAGGAGGGAGAGGGGAGGGGGTAAGGGGGTAAGGGGGAAAAACAAAATGGCAATTGTTGCATTGATTTCCTCCAAAAGTCATAATTCATGACTTGTTGAGACAATTTTATAAAAAAAAAAAAAAAAAAAAA